ACAGGGCACTTCTGTACCTGGCCCTAGGATATGCATAAGTTCGGCCAGACTCAACAGGGCACTTCTGTACCTGGCCCTAGGATAAGCGTAAGTTCGGCCAGACTCAACAGTACCAAAACTTGCAGGTCTGTGTCCCGTAAATTTCTGGACTGATTGGCAGTAATTACAGATGGGAAGGCGGCATGACAAGGTGGCATGGGAAAAGGGTGTCGCAGAAAAATAGAGCGAGTAGAATGACATAGATCGAGTCCAGGTTCGTCGAATAACATAGATCGAGTCGAAATTCACAGATATTTTAGAAGAAGGTTGAAGAAACGCATGTATTGGTGGGAAGGCCATCATTTCAAGAGAGATGATGATGTTATTCGGTTCGGATGATTCTGCACAATGTCATCAGAATGGCATCAGAAGGGAAATGCGAGGCAAGAGCCCCGATCGACCCCTTTCCTTGGGCCTGTCACACAGGTCGTCGGCCGCCCTAAGTGAAGGCAGGCTCGACGGGGGCCTACAGGCCTTTCTGTGGGGTCACCACGCAACTCAGTAATTCAGGCAGTTGCGCAGCGCCAGTTAGTTGGAAGAACCCACGCCCTGGGCAGCCTGTTTGCATGAAGCAAAGCCAGGCCCCGGGCAGGATACAGGATGTGGGCCTAACACAGGCCGTGTACAGTTGGGCGCAAGCAACTACTACAGGCCCAGGGCCTGAATTGGGTGGACCGGGCCCCAGCCTACCGGGGCCTACCGGAAGCTTCTTGGGACAGGCCGAGCGCAGCCTGGGATAGCAAGCAGACAGGCCACTTCCATATAGCAAAGGGCCTGGCCACACATGGGGCATTCGGGTGCTGGCTGCATGCTGCGCAAGCGCTGCTGCGCTATTTGCTGGCTGGCGCCCACGCGCTCACGGGCGAGCGAGGAAGAAGCAGGCAGCCATAGCCAAGCTGCGCTGCTGGCTGCTGGGTGTGGCGCAGGGTGGTCCTTGGGTGCGAGTGGCATCTGTGTGGTGAGGAACGGGGTTGTGAGTGTAGCGAGAGACTTACCTGGTGCTGGAAGCACGCGGCATAGGCCGCCATCTGCTCGTACTTGAGGAGAGCTGATGTCGTCAACTTCGGCATTGTAGATGTAGGCTAGATAGGTTCTGCCTTCAGTAGTCTGGGCGCTGAGCGCCAGATAGGACTTCGACATTGATTTTGCATTGATGATGATGATACTATACCAACATTGTCAATTGTGAGCTTTTGCTGGTCTCTTATTTGGTGGAACTCGCAATGCTATTCTGCTTTTGGTTCGAGGACACGACTAATGCTCATCTTCCTTGCAGAAAAAATGATTCAATTGAAAATGGCACCAACCGAACGTTGGCAATTTTCTGAATTTTTTTTATTTTATTTTTTTAATTGGACCATTTCTCGATTTATGCGTGTCATCCTGGCGCAGGGGCCATTTGCTAATTACCCTACTCTGTGTCGTTGGGTTGGCACCACAAGCCCTAGAATCCGCATGATCAAGTCCTCTGGTAATTGCTCCCAGCAAGTTCCTTTGAGGAGATGGCGAAAGCGATTGATATTTTCTCGAGATCGTTCGCGGTCCCTTTGCTGAGACTCTTCTAGTGTTGACGTACAAAGCTCAAACCTCCTCACAACGGCGTCGAAATGGTCGCACGGGCGACCCGAGAAGACTTCCAGAAAATGGAGGGACGACAACCTGGCAGCAACAGGAATTAAGCGCTCAAACTCCAATTCACTAGAATAGGAAATATAATGGTCGTGAGACCTGCAAAAGGAATTTTTACGAAGACGACCTATTTCTTCCAATATGAGTTCCTTCTCCTCGGGCGGTATTCTTGACAAGACCTGGGTTTGACGGTCATCACTCTCATAGAAGTCTTCGTCCCACTCCTCAAGGTCGTACCCGTCAGGCTGCTCGTGGTTGTAATGATGGAAATGCCTGAAACGCCCCGATGTTCTTGTCAGCGTACAGACATCTCCATGGGGCTTATAACGTTGGTTAACGGTGTTCGCCGCGACGATATCAAGTCGCGTCTCCTGACACTGAGATGAACCATCGGCTCTGGCGATGAGGATGTTGGTCTCACGATCTCGCACCTCGGCAAACCAGCCCCATTCGTCAAAAGCCTCTTCCTCGATCAAATCGAGCATGCGCATCCGCAAGGGAAAGCGCTCGCCATTCTCTCCCACCATGTCGAAATCGATAAAATGAACCATCATGACCCGCCAAATCTTATGGAAAACTTTCCGAGTAGTTAGTTGTTGCCAGTTTCTACAGAAGTCAAACATGTCGGTGGCCAGAGCGGCGTCACTCTCCTGCACAACATCCATCCCCGACCGATGGAATATTTTAGCACGATAATCATTGGAGTGAGAGAGTGCAAGCTCCACCAATCGGACCTCCAACTCCCAAAAGCTTTCGACCCAATCGTCACAACCCCCAGCCTCAGCTTTCTTTGAAATCTCCTCAAAGAATTCAGAGGATTCCTCCAAGAAATCCTTAGACAAGTCTACGATTGCGCACGGCAAGGACATAGTACCTGCGTTGCGCAAATCTTCGTTGATGCACTCACCAAACTGTTCGATGAATGCGTCGCGATCTCTCTTCAGGAGATCGGCGCTTCCTGGATCTATCAGGAATTCACTCAAATCCCCGAAGAAGTCGGCGGTGTTACCCACATCCACATAATAGAACGCCTCCAGAGTGGCCACTTGGACTGGGACCACATGATACTTCTCGAACACGCTTCCATGGAAAGCGGTACGGAAGTCAAGTAGCACATCGTTAAGGTTGTGCGCTTCATCGAGGAGTCCAGCCATGGGTCTGAGTTCGCTCGCCTGAGTGTTACTCTGATGGCAGGATGAACAGACTCAAGAACACATCCAAATCCAAGGCAGCTTGCGTTTCAACGGACGGCAAAGGCAGATCTGGACGAAGGACGTGTTTTGCAGGACAAAGGGGATGCCACAATGATCCCTTTGGTTGCATAATCCGTTTTCAGCACTTCTGTTTATGGATCTCATCCGATCAGCTGGACAAGGAGGAGGAAGATCGGCAACAAGAAGAAGAAGAAGAAGAAGAAGAAGAAGAAGAAGAAGAAGAAGAAGACGACGAAGAAGAAGAAGAAGAAGAAGAAGACGACGAAGAAGAAGGAGAAGGAGAAGAAGAAGAAGAAGAAGAAGAAGAAGAAGAAGAAGAAGAAGAAGGTAGCAAGGAGGAATAAAAGAAGAAGAAAGGAAGACAATGATGATGATGATGATGATGATGATACTAGTGCAGAACCCCAAAGCTTCCCCTAAACATAGGAAGAAAACGTGAAACAGTCTATTTCACAGAGTCGTCAAACTGCACAGACTCATAAACTGAGCAGGAGTAGAAGAGAGTTAAGTATGTGTAGGCGGGACGACCTTGGCGTGGTGACAGAGGCAGCGAACGACGATGTGGGGGCTATGGATTGGGATCTGATCCTTCATAGCAGTGTGGACTTGGTAGAATCCTGGTGAAAATTTTGTGAAACTGAAGAGCAACAGCAATGCAACAAACGATTGGCAATAGGGTTAACGGACGAGCAAATACACGCAGAAACCTTTCTTCCCCTCCGCATCAACAATCCCAAGCCAGAGAGAAACAGAGCCTTAATCAATAGAAAGTGGCGAGGGGAACGCACACAGGAGACTGCTCAAAGGTATCATTCCGGCTATCAGTGCAGTGACAGAGACMGACAAGAAGAAGAAGAAGAAGAAGAAGAAGAAGAAGAAGAAGAAGAAGAAGAAGAAGAAGAAGAAGAAAGGATGATGAAGAAACAAAGAGGAAGAAGAAGAAGAAGAAAGGAAGAAGAAGAAGAAGACGAAAGGAAGGAGAAGACGAAAGGAAGGAGAAGACGAAGAAGAAGAAAGGAGGAAGACGGAAGGAAGAAGAAGAAGAAGAAGAAGAAGAAGAAGAAGAAGAAGAAGAAGAAGAAGAAGAAAGAAGGAGGAAGGAAGAAGGAAGAAGAAGAAGAAGAAGAAGGAAAAAAAGAAGACGAGCGAGGAGGACGAGGAGGAGGAGCAGCAGGAACAAGAAGGCAGTGCTGCGATGCGATGTGATGTAAGATAGTGTAGTGAACTAACCATGCAAGATAAACCACGGTGGCGACATGCAGTATCAAAGTTAGAGAACAGTTGATATTACTTGATACTCTCATACCCCTCCCTTACCCCTCCAGTGACAAATTAATTATCCAAGGCCTTTTTTTTTCGCACCCTTCAGAGAGTGACAATCAACACAAAATTAAAACTTTGTTTGGACTCCAATAGCCAATACACGATGTCAAGTCCGAAGAGAATACTTCCGTTCCGAATCCTCTCGTCCTCCGACACATGCGCACCCTGATAGCCAATAGCCAATAGTACACAGAATCAGACAATGCCACGAGCCTCACCGCACCACTCCATGAATGCACAAAAGACAAAAAAGTATGGCTGCATACCTTTCCATGTTCTTGTGACAGATTCATTCTCATTTTGCACATTGGTGAGTGGTGCGGCGAGGCCCCATATCTTCTTACATGTTGGCTACTTCCTTGATGTAACCAGATGAGCACATCCATGTTCAAAGATCGGAGTTTCCAGTGATCACCCCCAACCCCCAAAATGTGACAGTGACACTGTCAAACTGCCAGTGATCACCCCCAACTCCCCAAAATGTTATTGTGGAAAATTCATTCTCATTTTGCATCTGAAGGTCTGGTTCACGTAAAAAAGAAAACAGAAACAGCAGCCGAACCAGGTGGATGGCGCCGCTACAGTCTTCCCCCCAATACAATGTACGGTCGTTATAGCTGAATTTGGGGCATCTTTCAGTCTAAATTCAGCTATAATGACCGTAAGTTGTATTCGGGGGAAGACTGTAATGAGAAGGTCGATCTGCTAAGAGAGGGTACGTAGTGTGGGAAAAAAGGGGGCAAGGCACGGTAGTAGACTCACCGGGGGGGTGTATATTAGATTCTGTAACTTTTCTGTGCAATCAGACTCAACTCTGGACTTGCTCACAACATGCACACTTGAGAACCGATGGCAAAACTGAACTCTTTCAACTCAAAAAACAACAATGAA